ACACAGTTCAGGTTTTCTAGTTAAGATTGCTGTGATTGGTAGCGTCGCCAGTGGCAGGTGAGGGGTCAGATATTTTAGTCATGGCTCACACTATTGTACAGACATCTGTTATTTTGAATGGATTATTTTGTTTATCAAGTTTCTTTGAATAGCAATTTCAGTTTTGTCTCTTATTTCCTTCTTTGATGAGGGTATTGCTGGCAGATGCATGCTACATATTGGCTAGTTTCTTGCAGTTCTCTGGCTTTTTTAAGTTTTTTTTCCTCGTCTTCGTATTTTTCTTCTCAACAACTTTGTCTTTCTAAAGAAATTAAGTATTTGAACGCAACATCCTAAAATGAAGAGTCCACAATTCTCTTCTTCAGCACTGTTTCTTATCTCCTCAAGGTCGTTCCTGATACCTCAGCTTCCTTTCCTTTCCCTCCTTTCTGCCCCGTTTTGCCTACTTTGTCTCTCCCAGGCACCTAGTTCTTCTTCAGCAATGAATGCTATCTGAGAGAGTGTCCCTGTGGCTTTGTTCCGTTACTCATGAGCAGTTGTTCTGCCTGGGAAAGTTCCTTCACCCATCTGGATTAGCGTCTGTACCCAAGTTTGGAACTGGAAGGGTCAATGTCAGATGTGTACTCTGAATAATCTGAAGTCAGACGATGGAAGCGTGTGTTATGGTGTAAACATGTCTTATGATGAACTTGCAGATGGTATCTTAGGGAACCAGGCACCTACCCGTAACCAGTTGAATGGCAATAATGGTGGCAGTGGTGGTGATGATTTTGGTAGTTAGCACTCACTCAAAATTTCACGCCAGTCATTATTTGAATCATCTACCTGTCACCTATCATTTATCTATCTATCTATCTATCTATCTATCTATCTATCTATCTATCTATCATGTATCTATCTATCCATCCATCTATCTATCATCTATCTGTCTATGTATGTATGTATGTATGTATGTATGTATCTATCTATCTATCCATCATGTATCTATCTATCCATCCATCTATCTACTATCTATCTATCTATCTATCTATCTATCTATCTATGTATCTACCTATCATCTATCTATCTATCATCTATCTATCTATATCATCTATCTATCTATCTATCTATCTATATCTATCTATATCTATCTATCTATCTATCTATCTATCATCTATCTATCTATCATCTATCATCTATCTATCATCTGTCTATAACTAATTACCTGTCTACCATCTGCTAATCATCTATGTCTCCATCTTTCTAACTATTTGTCATCTATTATCTATCTTCCCTCTCTCTGTGTGTCTTCCTCATAGTGACCTATTATCTGCCTACATCCTTATTCAAACGCCACAGCAAACCAGGTTAGGGTTTTCATCTTCCCATCACACCTAACAAGCTCAGAAACAATAACACTAGTTCCAGCCCCTAGGTTCACCAGAGGTGATGACTAGGGGACTCAGATAGGTGCTCAGTGGGTGACAGGTGATGGCTAGAAAGATGACTGACAGACATACAAAGCCAGGACTCAAGCCTATGCTGCTGGGGTGCAAAGCTGGGTCCTTAACCCAGGGCTCTGTCACTCATAGCCACACAGCAGGAAAGTGACCCCTGGATATTTCTAGATGTTACGCTGGGTATGAGAGACGGAGAGCCAACATGCCTTGGCTTTGAATGACTCATAGTCTAGTGGAAGATGAGAGTGAAGGCATGTTAAATGACTGTGTGAAGAGGAAGAAGGTTGAGGAAAGATCTGTGTAGACCTGATCAAAGACTATGAAGGAATTAAGCAGTTAGTGAAGAAGGTGCAAAGGTTATAAAAGGTAGGGAGAGGTATGGTCAAGGCAGAAGGCTAAGGCATCCCTGAGCAACTGTGAGCAGAGTCTCTTCCCATAGCATTTCTGGAATGCAAATGGCAATCCTAGGGACAGGAGAGGAATGAGGAAAAGACAGGCTTCTCATCCTGGGGCCTGGCTCTCTGTGACACGAAAACCAGACACCTGCCAGTGCCTCACTCCGTCTCATCAGTCCGCCAAGGCGGGGCTGTCCTGGCATGTGGGGCTTGTGACCAGAGGCTAACTAACCATTCCCTTGTTCTGTAGCATATGGCTTCAATCTGAAGTGTGTGGTGTGAAAGGGGCATATGATTCCTTCGCCTGGACTCGGTAACTCCATAGCATCTTTTGATTTGGGACTGCATGGCTATGCTGGAGCAGGAATACAAGGCAGCATATTGGTCATTCTCCTGTGTGGTGATGCTGTGCCTGCTTTTGAAGGATCACAGTAGCTTTATTGGTGACCATCTGTACATTGGCCTATCAGTCTGGGAAAATTGGAAAGTTATCTAGTTAGCCATCTTAAGAAAAGCAAAATCAAAAAGCCCCTGTCTTAGGGTTTCTATTGCTGTGAAGAGACACCATGACCGTGGCAACTCTTATAAAGGAAAATATTTAATTGGGTCTAGTTTACAGTTCAGAGGTTTAGTGTACTATTGTCATGGCAGGAAGCAAGGCAGAGTGCAGGCAGACATGGTGGCTGAGAGTTCTCCATCTGGATCAGCAAACCACAGGAAGTGAACTGTGTGCCACACAGGGCATAGCTTGAGCATAGGAGAACTCAAAGCCTGCCCCCACAGTGACGCATTTCCTCCAACAAGGTCACACCCACTCTGACAAAGCCCCAGCTCCTTATAATGCCACTCCCTATTGGGGGGGTATTTTCTTCCAAGCCACCACAGCCAAATATGTAGAAGGGAGGGCTTTAAAGGACCTTCAGATATGAAGCAATAGTAGGGGATCCTGAACACACGTCTTTGTCACTAGACCATGAAGTCCTGAGTCTAACGTTATTTCTCTCAGTACTTCCAGGGCCTATCTCAGTGCTTGGCACAAAGTTGTTCTTTTGTATTTGTTTTTTTGCTTGTCCATTTTGTTTTTAATAAATGTGCACTGAATTAAAAACAGAACAACCATTGAGAGATACGGGCCTAACCTGTCAGGTGGGGAGGGGTGCTGTGGAAACCAGAGGGCATAGGAGGGGGCCTTAACGGGGCTGGGTGTGCTGAGACACGTGGTAGGCATGGCAGCAGCAAGTGCAAGAGTTTTGGCCTCCGAGAAACTCTGGTGCGAATCATGGCTTATGTGGCCCTTGTGCTCCCTCAGCTGTGAACTGGCCCAAAACCGTGGGAATGACAAGAACTTGCCAAGGCCCCAGAGTGGCTCTGCCTGGCCTGACACTGGTTGCTTTCCCATTTGGGGCTGAGATTTCCAGGAAGACATCCTCTAGGGGCCGCCCCACGAAACCCCACACAGCTCAGTTCTCTGCCCTCCTGGGTTTCTCTCTGACTCGCCCACTACCACTTCCAAACTCCACCAGCTTGCGTCTGCCTCCAGCATACTGTGTCCTTCTGACTTAACATGGGGAGCGGTGGGGAGCCTGATGGTCTCTTGGGCTATTTAGTCTCATATTAACCATGTGTGAACCACATCTTATATTGGGGATCATCGTCGGAGTTATGCAAAAACAGTCAAACAATGAACTTCACAGGTTAGCCAAGCTGTCTTCCAAAGTGCCGTCAGTTAACCGGAAGACAGCGAGAATCCCTGGGACGGGAAACAAGCCTCTCCGTGCTTGCCATCTCTGCCAGCGTCCGATTCTGCCCCTGTCTGAGAGCTGCCGGAGGTACTGGCACGTGGCGCTGCCTCTTCTTAATTCATAGGTTCCATGACAAAGTAGGTAGATTTGAATACTTTCTGATATGTAATCTTAACAGTGCTGAGATAAAAGATTAAAATTTTTATCCACAGCAAGGAACGAGGAGTTACACTTGCTGTGAGTGATGTTTCTACAGCCGCACTAGGAATTGTAGCATATCTCTTTAGCTCTTAGAATAATAAACTCTTGTACAATGTTATTCCATTTCATCATCAAAGAAGCACAAAACACAGGGAGGTCCCAGAGGTGGATCTAAGATCTGAACCATAGTGTCGGCCATTCCCTTCGAAGATATCACCTTCCTCTCAAGAGTCCAGGAAGGCTAACTTAATTGTCATTGGGTTGAGCCAAAAGGGCTTGTGTTAGTGTTTGCTCGAGAAGGCAGAACAGGACCGAGGAAGGGCTATTAAGTAGATATCAGGAACATTTGCTCACTCTTTACCCAGGGACTAGTCAACTCTGAGCCTTTAATGAGGAGCGTGGCTCTGATTAAAGCCTTCTGAGGAAAGGCGTGCAGATGGCAGGAGGGTCAACTTGGAACATTGCTTCCTCCATCAGGGGCTGAATTCCGTCCTGTAGGATTAGCTCTGTGGGAAGCCTTTAAACCACAGCATAGACACTGAACAGGTCATAAAGATGGGCCCAGCGCCGATCATCCCAGGAAGCATGGGTCGGAAGAAATGAGCTTGAGAAGGGAGGGGCCGTCTCACCGTGAGTAGGAAAATTGGAACGATAGTGATGGCTTCTGAGCTGGAGTGGTTCCTGCTGGTGACACCGGAACTCTGCCACAGCCTCTGGTGCACATTGATTCCAGTACTTATAGGAACCGTGGACCGTGGCATGTGGGTATGGTGATCCTTCGTCAGAGGCTGATTAAACTGTCCTGTGTGAGGTCGTGCACATGGAGGTGAATGACGAGGGACCATGGAGAGAGGCGAGCAGGAGGAGGAAGAGGGAGATGCCATATGACTGACGAACAGGAGAGGAAATGAAGACAAGAAATTGGAAAAAATGGAGCTGGTGTCTTCTTTCAAAAAAAATGTAATTAATTGAGATCTGTTTCTGCAATGAGCTGGAACAGGTCACAAAAGAGAACCGCTTGGAGAAAGGCCTCCTTGTGGTGGGGTTTCCTTGTTTGTTATCTGCAGAGGGGCAAACGGAGCATCTAACACCCGAGGATCAGTTTTGTTTGGAGGTGGGGGGCATCAGTGTCCAGTCATCTCCTTTCTCCTTTCACTTGCTTACATTTGTGTTGCTTACAGTGACGTCAACATTGATTGTGCAACTCTGCCTCTGTCTTGCAGAATGGCGCTGTACCCCCTGGGAGCCTGATGGAGGCCTGTACTCCAAGACCACATCTGGAGGTGTGAAAAGCCTGTGCCTGCCGCAAGGCTGAGAGGCAGGGCAGGTGTTTCCCTGTTTCCCATCACTTGCTTCTTGATGGGACAGATTCTTTTTCCAAGTCTGACATTTCTCTTTGCACCCCTATTGAATATGTAAGTGGCCCTTAGTCTGTTCAGCCCCTTACATTGTAACTTAAAAGCCTGTTATTATTATGTTTAATTTTCACTCGGATTTTGTTGCTTTCTTTTGCCTAGGCCTTAGAAAACCAGGGGCCATAGGCCCCTTTCTTCCTTCTGACTCTTCGCATGGGCTGCCTCAGTAGTGATAGCTTTCGCTTGTTTTTTAAGCTTATAAACTCAATCCTCTGCTTTCTTGACTCCTGGTTCCCATCAGAAAAACTTCTGAAACTGTCTGCATCTGAGCTTGGCTTTGAGATTTGTCAGTCCTGGACCAATGTTGTACCACGAAAGACATCTCTGGGAAGAAGGTAGAAGGGGCTTTGAGACAGCGTAAAAGCCATATCTGGTAACACAAACAATAATTTCCAACCAATCTGTTTCCTGTGGTGCTGCCCTGGAGAGCTCCGAAAGAGTCCTTTCTCTACTGCTCCAGCAGAACGGCCGCCATGACACTGCTCGCAACCCCAGGGCCTGGCTCTCTTTTACAAAGCACATACCCCCACCGTCTTTAAGCAGGTTATTTTGTATTTAATTCTGTCTGCTAACATGGCTGAATGCTGCTGTGGATACGAATCGTGGGCGCTATCATAGCCCCGGGAGAGCCTAGCTTACCCGAGTTACAGATTCGGTTTGAAGGCTCAGTGTCCTGGGTTACAGGAATACATTGGACGGAATACTGACTCCGGAAGCAATTAAGCTACAGAGACAATTCTGAGCTCACACAGAAGAGTAACTTAGGTCCAGGTCATTTCATTTTAGGTGAATTTGTTTGCTAAGTTGCAGGAACTGGGTTGCTGAACAAAAACCTCATTTCCCTCCAGTTTTTAGCAAGTCTAGAGTCAAGCCCCTCAATGTGGAATCTTCTTGGGGGCATAAGGGAAAGATGTGCTCCCTGTGGCGCCCTTCCTGGGCTGTGAATGCTGCCCTCCCTGTCTACACTCTGCCTGCCTGTCCCAATGCCTCCTCTTTACAAAGGCGCCAATTAATTGGATTTGCCCCATTCTGGAGATTTCCATCAGAGGCATCCTGTTTCCTGAGAAGGTGGCAGTCTCGGGTCCTGGTGTTAGAGCTTCAGTATGAACTTAGAGGGAATACCATTCTGCCCATCCCTTTAGGTACCCACAATTCTAACCCCCACAACCCTTTCCAACAGCAAAACTCCAATGCATAATACATTCAAGGGAGGACAAAATATTGTAGCTTGAAGTCTTGTACATCTATGAATAGTTTCACTGACTTAAAATATTAAGTTAGGTCAATTTGATATATGAAGCCACTGAACTGAGTATATTTTGGTTTATTATTATTAATACTATTAAATGCTTAAGATGTCAGGGATGGCAGACAACACTGTCTGTGAGAAACTATGTGTGTTTCAGTGTTTCATGTAAGAGATGATGTTCCTTTGCTCAGTGGTTCTGAGTGGGAGAATGTGGTAGTTTGGATAATAAATTTGGATAATAAACACACACGCACACACACACACACACATACTCTGCGTTTGATCATATCAACCCACCAACCCTTTCCAAATCTAAATCCCCCAACCCTCTCCTAACTTCATGTCTTCTCACTATACCCCACTAAGTCCAATCAGCACCTAGCACGCGTGCACGGATGTGTGGGGCCAGCTACTGGAGCATGGACATTTCCCTGAAGGAGACAGGTCTTCAGCTACCAAGGCTCCTCGGGTGGGGCTTGGTTGCTTTGTAAGCACCCCCTTTTTTAGCTATGCTGGCGTGTTGACTGTCTTGATTCTGTACCTCTCTTACGCAGATATCCACGCTGCTGTGAGTTCACGGGCACAGTGGCTCTGTCGCACCCAAGAGACATTGCTCTGCAGCGTTTTCCACAGTCTGCAGCTCTCACAATCTTTCTAACCTGTCTTCTGCAATGTTCTCTGAACCGTGCAGGGACAGTGCGTGCAAAAAGATGTCCCATTTATGCCTGAGCACCCCACAGGTACTAATTCTCTGCACTCTGTAGAGCTGTGAATCTTGGAATTAATCACAATTTCCTGTGACAAGAAGCCTCTCTGTGGAGAACTGCGAGCTGTGCTGATCTGTAGGTCAACAGATTAGCATTTAGAAGGCAGCCTCATCCTGTCCATTTAGCAACATAATAGTAATAGGCTCTTCCTGAGGGTGCTTGGCCTCCCCAGCAGCGTGTTCTTGGTTAGGTTTACAGAATTAGGCATGCGCTTCATCAGTGAGGTGGACCTTCTATCCAATCAGGACACAGTTAACCTTACCTGCTTCCTTATTGATCACTCTAGCTGGTGGTGCGAACCGGGAGAGTGCGGCCTAACATGAGGAGGACACAGTTTCACACAACAGCCAACTTTACAGAAAGCACTAGGCAATTTATACACCGATGGTTAAGAGTCACATGAGTAAAGTGTCCAGTCACAAGGGCAAGCCGCACTTGTGGGCAAGCCGCACGCTGCGAGCAAGCCGCACGTGGCAAAATGTGTTTTTCCATAGAGACACATAGACAAATATCAACAGCCAATTGTAACGAATATGAACTCACTCCTATCCGCTACTCCTGGGAGGGGCATGAAAGCACACTCCAGGAACAGTTCCACATTTTTGAAGAAACTGAGGTCACGAGACTCTTGTCTTGTGTTCTTGGAGTTTTCTCACAGTTCTTTTCAGTATGGCACCCATGGGCACATGCTTCCAGGCCTGTTGCTGTTACATAGTTCACAGAATTCACAACTAGGTAGGCTATTGATAACTTTTCTTCCTCAGTGGCCTACATAGCACCTTCTAATACTACAAATGAAGCTTCTGGGTCTGACTTCTCCATCACCCTTGATCCAAGAGTGTAGAGCCTTCAGCAATTGGGTCTTACCTTCAAGTTCTGATGGGTACCCAAAAGAAATGGCAACAATTTTTATTGCTGTCAGAGGTCCACAGGACTTCATAGGATCTCCCTGACATACAGTTCACAGGAAAGTGCCCCACCCCTGGCACAGGATTTTTGTTTGATAGCCTATGGCACCGGGACAAGGCAGAATAATGACCAAGGTTTTAATGTGTAGACTTTGAACTGCCTGTCTTAGAGTCATGGGTTAAAGGGGAAATTCCCTGGCCCCCAGCAGGACCAGTATATCCAGGTTCCTCTGGGTGATGTCGAGGACTTCGGTAATCAATACCAGAGAACTCTGAATGCTGTTAATTTACAGAGCAGCACATTGTGCAGGAAGTCTGGCTACCTTACAGGCACATCACCACATCCATACGTCAGCCCAGGGATCAATCTGGCTGCATGTTTCAGTGTGCAAGGGCTGACAGTGGGATTCATAATCAGTACTCGTCTGTGACGTCGGCAAAGTGGAAGCAAAGATGATTGATGTCTGGAAGACGCTGTTTTCTTCCTTCGCCATTCCTGCCTCTCAGGGAAGAGTGGGTTGAAGCCGATCTTTGAACGAAGGAAAGGAAACCTTGGGCCTGAAGGGCGAATGCCTGTGTACTGTACCATGTGGGAGGAAGGTGGTCTTCTGACTACCCAGCCTGAGGAGGACAGGGCCATCTCAGCACTGGGATAGATTGCTATACAGGTGAAACACACGCCAAGTACAGTTTTTGGATTGAATTTCCTTTTCAACATATATAGACAATATGTATTTATTTTCTCCCTAGAGAACATTATTTTTGCTCCAGGGTGAAAAAAAAATCCCCAAAACACCAAGTATTAAAAAAAAAAAAAAAAACAAGAAGCAATTTAGGAAAGATTAAAAGCAATTGTTCTGTTACCCCTGGCAACAGAATCTAGATGCAGCCAATCAGCAAAGTTGATACATTGTTTTGACACACGTGCACATATTTCTAACATAAATAGCAACAGAGACCTAATAACAGTAGGCTTTAAAGCTGGCGACTGATGTCATTTTAAATGTGTCAATCAAAGAGAACCTAGGAAAGTGTTTTTCTCAGTCAGGTTGACATTAAGTATATACTGCAATGGCTCCCTAAGTGATGGTAGACTTCTGTCAGGTCATCCGGAGATGCCAAGTCTATAATTAACACTCCTGCTTCTTGGAATGTGTCCTTTAGAACATCTCAAAATAAAAAAAAAACAACTTTAATAAGAAAATAAAGTTTCAATCTCACAGTAAATTCATCTATTGCATTATTATCAGAAGGAAATATGTTTCAGAGAGCGAGGGAAATGAGACTACAATTAGCTTGTTTATCCATAAAAAGATGCATTTCTTTGGCTCCTACGTCTGCTGAGTTTATGATCAACTTGTGCCAGTAAATCCTGCTAGTTAAAAATGTTTCTAAGGCTCTCAGAAGTTGGGTTTGACTGGAACAATAGTAGAAAACAATAGTATTGGGAAGTGCTGGGGAAATGGATGGGTGGTTAGGAGTCCACTCTGGGGACGCTGACTACTCAGGGTGGAAGGGAACACCTAGTGAATCAAAGTCCATCCTGCCTGGAACAGTGAGTGCTGGTGTTGGTAAAAATGAAGAAGTCCAAGGTAGCATTTCTCAAGTGTTTACAAGGGGCACCCACCATGTCAGGGCTTTACAGACTCTGCAATACCTTAGAGGTAGAAACTGTCCCACCATATAGAGACCGTCTTTCCCAAGGGCTTCTGGACCGGCCTTGTGCATCTGGTCTTGCCTGACTCCTCAGTTTGACGGGACCTGGACCTCACTTTAGTTCTGGTCCTTGGGATTCTAATTCAAATGTATGCCTGAACGTGATTGGTTGATCTCCACTTTGTCCTCATACACATGGTGGACCCCCATAAAATCATGGGGCTTCCTCCCTCTTTGTCTCTGGTTCTATAAAGAGCTGGATCTATGTCCTGGAGCTGCTAGGGGCACCACTGAAGTGTCTGCTGGAGGCCCTGTGGCACTTCAGCGCTCCCAATCAAAGTTGACTTTCCTCCTTTAGAAGTCTTTCTCCAAAGCACCGAGTGCTGCATTGAGAGCTCTGTTAATGTTTTGATAAACATACCCAAGAAGCGACTTTCAAAATTTAAATCTTATTTGGAATGCAAATATAGTATTTATCTGAAATATTATATTTTGAATA